AGGGATGTAATGAATAGTGATTTGGATGAATAATGAATATTTGGCAATCGAATAGCAACACTTTTTTTAAATTTTTTTTTTGTGAATAAATAATCAGGAACAAGTATGTGTATAATGTATAATGAGGAACATGTATAATGAGGAAACTTGGGTGGGGGTTTAACCTATGGTTTAACACTCTCATTGCTAGCCGAGTGTAAGTGGTTATACTCTATTTATCATTGAAAATTGGTAATCTTTCAAGATAAAATCAAAATTAAATTTTTCTTTTTTGGCAACTATTTTAGTTTTTAAATTTTACAATAAGTTTATTTTAATAAACAATATACTATTCTCATGAGAAAAAATAATTTTTTTGCAAAAGTAATTAGATGATAATTTGCATCTAGTTACTGCTGCTTTATTGGTTTAATCTGCTTTATTGGGGCAAACTGCAGGGAAGAATTTCGTCGTATGATACAGCGTGATCCCGCAACAAACGTGTCTATCTGTATTTAACGTTTTTCTTCTTCTTTTTTTTATGATTGTATAATCTTTCTTGTTGCTTATATTATCTAGACTTAATATAATTCTAATTAGTTATGCGACGTATACAATGGAAATAGTGACGTAATTTTCAGGATCAAAGGGAATCTATATTTTTCTTTTATGTAGAAAAAAAACATCATTCGCCAATATTTTCGCCAAAACACAATTTGTTTGCCTTATCTTCGATTTTATCGCGTTAGGCGAGGATGCGAATGCTTAGCTCAGGCTCTGAATAAGTTAAGCAAACAATCAAACAACAATAAAAACTTAGCTATATTATTGATATAGGCCGGGATAGCCTGGTTGGTAGGGCTGTGGGCCAATGTTCAAGAGTTCGTGGGTTCGATCCCCGCGGCCGAAGACTCCCCGTGTAGTATAAATGGTGACTGATGTACGTTAAATCTGTTGAGTCGCAAAGTACTCCATGTTCCTATAGCAAATTAATACCTCTGGGGGTACTGGTACAGGAGTTTCCTTGTCTTCTGTATTGGTTGAAAATTACAAGACTAAGGAGTTGAACATTAGTAGTCGTAAACCCAAACTTGGGCCGGCTGTTCAACAACGGATATATATATTATTGGTATGGGGTAAAGGAGAAAAAAACTATAATAGTTGTTTGTAGAGTCGCGGTGGCTCTGGAGATAGAGCGTTCGCCTCCCAATGAGGTAAATCGTGTTCGAATTCCTTCGTTGGCTGGTCAATACGAATTTCGCACATGGCTCGCACCGACTACAGTGCTGACGTAAAAATATCCTCAGTGGTACTGGATTATGGCTCATGGGTTCCGTCAAACTAACTGTTTGAGATTTTTGTGGTTTTCCTCTCCTTAGACCTCCAATGCGGGTTAGTTTTGTCAAAAAGTCCTCCAGGAAGGCAAAATTTCACTTAATACTTAATCTAGGAGTTCTCTTGTTTGAATCTTGTTGAAAATTACAACATTGTAAATCATAAACTCAAAATTGGTTCGGCAGTTTAACGATATAAAATAAAATGGCTGTTATAAAATGAAATAGTTGTTCATAAGAAATATTTAAAATTAAAAACCTTACTAACAGCTTAAATAAATTAAGTATTAAAGATGAAAAAAGAGAAATAGGAAAAAAAAAACCCATCTAAATCCTCAAAACAAACCTTTAATGCTAAAAATCATTATATAATATTTTCTGGAAAAAGTATCCTTTAAACAACGTTTAAAAAAATCGTCTATGAGGCATTTAAAAATTCCGAGCTATCATAAAAATAAAAGATTATATAGAATAGCGAACTAAAAAAATAAATAAAAGTCGATTTTAATTTTCCAAAGGAAATTTTTTAGCTGAACATCTCAGTTTTTCGATTACCTTATTTTTGAAGTCTAATAGAAACCCTCTTTATTGCCGCGTCATGACAAAAACTAAAAAACTTCAATAAAAAGAAAAGTTTATTTATTTATTTTCTTTTTAAAAAGAAAAAGTTAGATAGAAACCAAAACAAAAAACCGTTCTAAATTTTTAAAAGAAAAATTGAATGCTAAAAATCTCAATTTAATTTTTTCAGGTTGCCTTATTTTTAGAAAAAAAGTTACGATAAAAGAATAAAGTTTAATAGAAACGCTCTTTTAAAAAATGCTGTGCCATAATAAAAAGAAAGGTTAATAAAAAAAAATGTGTTAAATTCCTAAAACATAACTTAATGTAGAAAATCGCAATTTTCCATGTTACTAGTTATTTATATTACCGTACGGGAAAAAAGGGAAAGTAAAAGAATGAAGTCTAAAAGAAAAAAAAAATGCCACACTAAAAAAAAAAAAAAAAAAAAAAAAAAAAAAAAAAAAAAAAAAAAAAAAAAAAAAAAAAAAANAAAAAAAAAAAAAAAAAAAAAAAAAAAAAAAAAAAAAAAAAAAAAAAACCCGACGAAATTGACTTGCTCGAATATAATTTAAAAATCTCAGCAGTACATAACTCGTGGTTCAGCATAAAGTAAACTAGCATCAATTCTTCGAATTTTGCTTTTTTCTTCGTCTTCCAGAACACAAATTTGCAAGCGATGTGCAATTTTTAGAACCTAGCAAATGAGTGCAGAAACTATTTCTAATAACGAATAGTAAAAAATATGATTGTAGAATATTCTTTATTAAATCTATTAAAATTAAAAGAAAAAATGTCTAAATATGATTCTTTTGAAAAAGACTTAACCGACAATACGGCCAACCGCAGCAAAAGGGCTGACTAGTGGACAAACACCGAATAGTTTCCGAATGTTCGTTACATCGCCAATAAAAAATAATTATTATTTTGGAACAAAATTTTTTAAAAAAAGCACTTGCAATAACTTTCGAACGAATTAGAAAATACTTTTATACATAATATAAAAATACTTTTTTGCAAAACACTTTGCCTAACATACGACCAACCGCATATTCAGCAAAAGGAAAGACTAGTGGACAAGTACCGAATAGTGACCGAATATTCATTACATCCCCAATAAATAATTATTATTATTAAATAATAATTGTTATTAATTATATATATGTAATTATTATATTATAATAAATCCACCTTTTGTTTCAGGAAAAAAATTTGTTTTATGCTTTTAAGCAAGATAAGAGCAAACAGTATTTTACAGAAAATGTTTTCGCAGACGAAACAATTCCTTCTTTTCTAAATGTTAGAGTTATTAAAGAAAACAAATTAGTTTATAATAATTATACACACAAAAGGAAGAAGACCGAATTAAAGATTTCGATTTTACGTGATAAAAAGACATTTAAAATATTTTTCAAGAAAAACTCCAGAAATTAAAAACATGGGGAAACTAAGAAAATTTAAACTAAATATAGCGTGTTTCGCATCAAAAGTTTACAGGCCGTAGTTTGCTAATGAAGCTTATTACAGATCCATAAAAAAGCAACGCAAAATTAAATGAAAAAGCTCTTTGTGATTTTCAGGAATTTCTTTCGCTGCACTTCTACAATTTTTTTTATTTACTTTTTATTGCTACACTTAAGGGGACAGTGGACGTTGGAATATGATGAAAATGGCAAAAATATCGATTTTGAGATTTTTAGAGAAATTCCATATTTGCTTCATTATCTTTCAAATAAAAAAAAATTATTGATTTACGATAATTTTTTACGAAGTTATTGACAATTTTCGAAACCGAAACCAATATTTGAGCTTGAAGGTTGAACGCTTCTAAAGCGAAACTAACTTTTCATCCAACCATCTGTTGGAATTGTCTGTTATATCCGCCATTACTGAATTTAATGTTGGNCGTAAAATATCCTCAGTGGTAGACGGATCATGGGTCCCCTTGTCATCAGGTAAACCATGAGAGATTTTCGTGGTTTCCCTCTGAATGTAAAGCAAATGCGGGTTAGTTCCATCAAAAAGTCTTCCACGAAGGCAAATTTCCCCCAATACTTGATCCAGGTATTCCCTTCTCTTCTGGATTGGGATCAAAATTAGAAGGCTATGGAGTTGAACCTTAGTAGTTGTAAATCTAAAATTGGAACCGGCTGTTCAATGACGGTTATATTATAAAATAAAAAAATTATTGCCGCGATGGCTCAGGGGATAGAGCGTTTGCCTTCCAATATGGTGAACCGGGTTCGAATCTCAGCGACAGCTGGTCTATGCAAATTCCGCACTCAGTTTGCACCTACCACAGTGTTGAAGTAAAATATTCTCAGTGGTAGACGGATCATGGGTTGGAGTCCCCTTGCCGTCAGTCTAACCGTGGAGGTTTTCATGGTTTTCCTCTCCATGTAACGCAAACGAGTTTTAGTTCCATCAAAAAGTCCTCTACGAAGGTAAATTTCTCCCTATACTTGATCCAGGAGCTCCCTTGTCTTCCGGATTGGGTTCAAAATTACAGGGCTACGGAGTTTAAAATTAGTTCTCTTAGCCCGAATTTGGTCGGTTGTCCAAAGACCGTTACATTTAAAAAAAAAAAATGAGATTCTGAGTTGTTTTTTTTGTGTTTAAAGCTCAAGCAGTAGACGTAGATAAAATGAGAAACTCACTGCGATCTGAAAATAGCAATTAAAGAATTTTCTGCAAGCATTTCATTACAACTCTTATAGCTTGTTTTTATCATTTTACGCCACCTTTTTTCGGCGAAATTTAATGTTACTGAACTGATTGAAAGTGTTATATTTTTTTAAATAGGTTTGCATCGGGCTAGAGTATATTTCATTTTATGGACCAAAACACTATCGTAATTTTATTTTAAGAAAAAAAAATCAATCCTTTAATAAACTACATAATTGAAACTTTAAAAACGAGCCTTTCCATTATTAATCTTTCACACGTTTGTAACAGAACATTAAAAATAATCAGTATAATTTATTCGCATAGTAATGTATATTTGTTTTACACTTATCTAATCAAATTCGCTGTCGTTGCTTATCGGTCAAATTTATATTTACTTTTTTTTTAATCAGGATATAAAATATCACGTGCTTCGACTGAAAAGATGTATTACTGTTTCAAAATAATAAAAAATCTCGTTTTTTTATACATGATTTCGCTTGCTTCTCTTCTTTTTTCTAGTTGGTCTAGATACCTTTTCTAAGTTGTTCTTTTTTAATTGTAGAAACAGAATGTGAAAGTTGACAAATAACATTAAGCCATGCTCAGTCCTCGTGATTACGTAGTTTTATACCAAAATGTTCGTTCGAAAGAAGCTAAAAATTATTATGTATCACCTGACGCTTTCAAGTTAGCTACGCGGAGCTTGGTAGAAACATACAGGAGAAATGCATCGGCTTGGAATGCGAACACAAGTCGTAATGCTGATTACAACGATGCAGCCCATAGATGTGCATATTTACATAAATATGCTCCCATACACTCTTGTATGGTTCAAGATATGCTATGCAGAGCTTTTGAAGAGGGTAGTGACATTTTCAAGAAAACGTTTTTGGATAATGTGTCCTGCATAAATATTTGTAGCCTTGGGGGAGGACCAGGAGTTGATGCTATAGGAGTAATGTCTGCTCTGTGCAAAAAATTCGGAGTGCTACAATGTTCTGTTCAAGTTGTAGATTCTATGATTGGATGGAAAAGTTTGTTTGATTCCGTCTTAGAGGAATATGGAGATGTCTCAATAAATTTCGATCCGGATTACTTTCAGCACTCTTTTATTGCTGCAAACTTGCTAGGAGAAATGAAGACTTCTGCTGCAGAGGCTATAAGGTCAGCTAATTTGATTACTATGATCAAATTTTTGTCTGGTTCTACTTGTAAGAATACTGAACAGATGGTTAGGGTAAGTCATAAGTTATGCAATTTTATATTAAGTCCATCGATAGCTTTCGATGAAATAAAATACTACCAGCGAACTCAAAATCTTAATTAAGAAACTTTCCGCAAGAAATTTATTTACTCTTGTAACCAGTTTCAACATTTTCATCGCTAACTAATTTTGACGAAATTTTTTCGAAAAACACTTTTAAAAGTATTTTAATTAAAAAGAAAAAAACTACATTGATTATAATACATATCAGCATATTTTTCTTTAAAATTAGCAGTTTTATGAAAATATAAACCGAGTAACTGATTTATTTTGTTTTCTTTTATCCATAACTTTCTTTGTTTATAGAAAAGCTCTCTTAGAAATATTTCAATGAAACGTTAAATATTTTTTATAAGTATCGCTTTTTGTTTCTTCTACACTTTCTTGCTTTCTTCTACACTTTCTTGCTTTCTTATTGCGTGACTCATTTTACAATATTTAATAGGATCAAAATAAAGAGAATTGCTACAATATATTTTATCACTGAAAATAGTAGAATCGAATTACACACTTGATGTTACTAAACAATGTACATAGGGGATGAAGGCTAGATTCTATAGACATAATGTAAACCGGTCCCCCTTAACCTGCGTGCGGTACCTGTGTATTAAAAAAGCAACATTTAGAGGTTCATTAGTAGAGGTTTTTGAAACAGGTTTACACCTTCTTCCCTTTTATCTTCTTCTTCTCTTCTCGTCTATTCGTTTAAGGACAAAAAATATTGACTATTGTATTGCAAACAGTAAATCGAAACCATCTTTTATATTACTAATGAATAGGGAAAAAAATCGTGGAGTTAGTATTATAATTTGATAATTATACTTTTTGATTTGAGCTAAGCCTTTTTTTTATAATAAGGTTATCTTGTTATACCTTTTATATCTTTGAGTTGGGTTTCGAGTTATAGATTTGAAAGAAAAGTTAGGCAAACCTTTTCACATGTATTCAATGTATAAGAATACTTACCAGCTTTTAGTTTTTTAACACCAGTATTTGTTATCTCATAGTTCTGACAGCTTTTAACTAGATAATTCTATTCGTAAAGGTGTTTACAATATACGTAAAGGTGTTTACAAAAATATTTTTCTTATTTAAATTTCTTTCACAACTCCTCTTCCTCTATGAAGTATAACATGAGTCTTAGAGATGTAACTGTGTAAAGTACAATTGTTAATTAAAAAGACGCGGAACAAAATTAAAAGTTTAAGTTATAGGTTGATAGGTATTTTATTTACGTCGTACTAGAGCTATTGACCGAAAACATCCCTGAAGATAATCCGAAGACATGCCATCGCAATTTTGATCCTCTGAAGAGGAGTTGGATCCACTGCTTTGGAAGCCAGACGACCTGCGTGTGAAGTCGAGCAGTCTACGATAGAACAGGTCAACGAAGGCCGATACCACGCACTATTGGTCCCTTCGCAGGTCGATCAAATTGGTCACCCACCCGCTTACTGACCTCAGTCAGTGATGCTTGACTTTGGTGTTCAACTGGGATCCACGTCTTAACGATCAGTCCACAAGTTTAGGTTGTAAAAAAATGCGTAAAATATTTAGGTTTACGGTGCATGTAACAAACAAGGACAAACCTGGTGGCCAAGAAAGTCCAAGAGGTAGATAAGGTCCTTTTCTAAGCATTCTCTTTGACTTTTTAATTGTTGTAGAGGAATTTATTTATCTTCCGAAATATTTGTTATATGTTGTACAAATCCAATTAATAATTAATATTTTTGTATTATTTTAGAGAATTTTCAAGTTAATGAATCATGGTGCACTTTTACTCTTAATTGATAATGCAAGTGGGGGATTTGTTGAACTTGTATCACGTATTGGTGAAGAATGTAAACTGCAGCCTGTATTTGGCCCTCTGAAAGAAGTATATTCTAATAAAGTGTTTAGATTGAACAGGTGGGGTTCACGTAGTTGTTCTTCAATTCGAGTTGCTGTATACTTACTCAGAAAATGTGATGGACAGTTTAAAGATAGAAATTTTCGGAATCACCCATTAAATCGATGTAAAGAAAACGAAGACGACGTTTATGATAATTTTGATGAACAATGTGAGTATTGCGGTGATGATCGTTTTAACTGTGACTGTTTTAGCCGTTATGAAGATAACGATTATGATAACTTTGATGACCAATGTGAGTATTGTGGTGATGAGCGTTTGAACTGTGACTGTCTTAGCCGTTATGATGACAACGATTACGATAACTTTGATGAAAGGTGTGAGGGTTGTGGTGAAGACCGTGATAACTGCGACTGTTTTAATTGTTATGAAGACGATGATAACTTTGATGAAAGATGTGCAGGTTGCGGTGAAGATCGTGATAACTGTGACTGTTTTAATTGTTATGAAGACGATGATAACTTTGATGAAAGATGTGCAGGTTGCGGTGAAGATCGTGATAATTGTGACTGTTTTAATTGTTATGAAGACGATAATAACTTTGATGAAAGATGTGCAGGTTGCGGTGAAGACCGTGATAACTGTGGCTGTTTTAATTGTTATGAAGACAATGATAACTTTGATGAAAGATGTGCAGGTTGCGGTGAAGACCGTGATAACTGTGACTGTTTTAATTGTTATGAAGACGATGATAACTTTGATGAAAGATGCGCAGGCTGCGGTGAAGACCGCAGTAACTGTGACTGTTTTACTCGTTATGAAGACGATGATAACTTTGATGAAAGATGTGCAGGTTGCGGTGAAGACCGCAGTAACTGTGACTGTTTTAATTGTTATGAAGACGCTGATAACTTTGATGAAAGATGTGCAGATTGCGGTGAAGACCGTGATAACTGTGACTGTTTTAATTGTCATGAAGACGATGATAACTTTGATGAAAGATGTGCAGGCTGCGGTGAAGACCGCTGTGACTGTGACTGTTTTAATAGTTATAGAGACGATGATAACTTTGATGAAAGATGTGGAGGTTGTGGTGAAGACCGTGATAACTGTGACTGTTTTAATCGTTATGAAGACGATGATAACTTTGATGAAAGATGTGCAGGTTGCGGTGAAGACCGTAATAACTGTGACTGTTTTAATTGTTATGAAGACGATGATAACTTTGATGAAAGATGTGCAGGTTGCGGTGAAGACAGCAGTAACTGTGACTGTTTTAATCGTTATGAAGACGATGAAAACTTTGATGAAAGATGTGAATTTTGCGGTGAAGAACGTTATAATTGTGATTGTTTTAACTGTTATTAAGACAAAGATGATTTTTTCAATGAACATGCGAGAGTTGTGGTGCAGACCGTCGCAACTGTGACGGTTTTAACTTTTCGAGATTAATAAATTTATTCTAAATATTATATTTTTGTTTAATTTTGCAGTTTGATTCGTAAAATAACAAGTACTACAGCTTTTAAAAACGTCTACTAACTGCGCATTCCTTTACCTTTAAAGATGTCATGATCTAACAATTATAAGTTCATCATGAGTAACACACGATTAATATAAAGCGTTGAAAATAAGTTCTTACTAAAACTGTTTATAACTTTTATTCACAAGTTTTGTTCCAAAGTAATAGTTGTATGCACATAGAAAATAATTACTGCTATAACTGAAAACTATTATCTGTACCAGTATTAACTGTTTGAATGAATGCTTATTTGGCCCGTGTATGGTGACTGGTGCACGTTAAATCTGTCGGGGCTACAAAGTCTTTCAAGCTCCCATAATAAATCAATACCTCTGGGGGTACTGAATTGGAGCTTGATTGTTGTCTGGTTTAGGTTGAAATCACGATCTGTGGATTATGATAGGGTCCTCCCTGTGAAACGGGCTGTGTGTGGTTGAAGTTGGATTCTTTGCCATAGATGACTCCACTAAAAAATCAAAAAACACACTTTCTACCTTAACATTCGCGTGATTTCATGCAAGCGTACTGATGGGTAAGTAGCATAATTAACAAAAAGGTTTAAAAGTAAATAAATGTGCTTTAAATGTTAAAAAAAGTCGTTAGGCAACGATAGTTCACCTTTTTTTGTGATAGATTACTTTTTTCTCTACTAATAGATTTTAGATATTTTAAAACGTTTCGCATAAGTTAATAAGCATTCTAAGTGCAAAAAAATATGCTGTATACTTCTTGGATTTGATTGTTATTATTGTCAAAAGTTTTTAATATTTTAACTCAAATTTCTAATTATTTTCGTGCAAAATCCTATAAAATTTAGGTCTAAAAACTTTTCTTATACAGTTCTCAAAATAATAATAAGAATAAAAAAAAAATCACCTTGAATAATTTTTGACCTAATGATTGAACTTTAACATATTAGGACTCAATTTTAAAGGTTCGCGTGCATAATCTTTGCTTTTCAAGTAAAAAACTTATCTAGGAACTTTTTGAAGATTCGATCAGTAGATCAAAAGTTGTGTAGGATTGTCCGTTTTATATTTTTTGCTCAGTGCAAACTGGGATTCTTATTTATTATGCATTTAAATTTTGGGTATAAAAGAGACATATTTTCAAAATATGATTTCTCAGGGACTATTTGACCAATTTCACTCAAATTTTGGATTTATCATTTAAAATTGTATTCTTTAAAATGATGTAAAAACTGTGTACCTTACAGTTAAAAAATTTTTCGACTTTATTACATAAAATAATAAAAAGCAATAAATATTTACTAAAAGTTATTTTTGCATGGAATTAATAAACAAATGGAATTAAAGCGTGTTTGACTTT